TTGCCGTTCAAGAACTCATCGCCATCGACGGTGTCGGAGTTTGTCATGAGGTCACCCACATAAGCAGGACCCTTGCCGTTCATGTAGTCATCGCCATCGACTGTGCCGAAATCGGAGTCTGTCATGAGGTCGGACACGTCGGCGGGGCGCTTGCCATTCACGAACTCATCGCCATCGGCGGTCACCCAGTGGGTAGCACCGATCGCGTCAGAGCCAACCAAGTCACCCACATAAGCGGGGCCCTTGCCATTAGGGAAGCTGCCATAGTGATGGTGCGATCCCCTCCATGTTCCAGGGCATCCCACATGTGCGAACTGACAGCAAACGCGCTTCTTGTGGGCATCCCAGGAGTAGTACCAATTGTCGGCGTTGGAGCAGTCGATGGTCCCTCCGGAGAACAGCCCATGTCCACCGTAGTAGCCACCGTCGTAGAAATTTGCCGGATGATGGTCGCCGTAGTAGTGATGCACGATGTAGGTCGGGCTAGAATCCGAGTCGTGCAGATGGTGGAACACATGGTGAACTTCGTGGTGGACCTCATGGTGGACCTCGTGATGCTTCGCATGGTGTTCCTGATGATCCTTCTCGTGTTCCTTGGCATGCTCCTTGTCCTCATGCTTGCCGTGCTCCTTTGCATGCTCCTTTTTCTCATGCTTGTCGTGCTCCTTGGCATGCTCCGTGTCATGATCCTTGTCGTGCTCCTTTGCATGCTCCTTGTCCTCATGCTTGTCGTGCTCCTTGGCATGCTCCGTGTCATGATCCTTGCCATCGCCATGTAGGCGCCGTCCTCGCAAGCTGACAGAGTCGGCCACTGGCGCGCAAAGCTCACCGGTCAAAACAGACCGTGCATCGCACGAGAGCCCAATGGGCGCCAGCAAACACGTGGCCAAAGCAATGCCGGCAAAGGCAGTTACCCGGCGCCATTGCGAAGGAGACGGTGCTTCCTTCACGGCACTCTCGGCAGCGGTCATGATCCCTGCTGCCAAGTCTGCTTTAGCCGGGTAACTCGTCGAATCGCTTCAGCCAAAGTTCTGCAGAGTATGTTGAGGACTAGCCAGGACATAAACATGATCACGCTCATCCTTGTCATTTCGACCCCTACATGGACAAGCCAAACCCCAACGGCCCCAACGTTGCTTTCAACACGTGAACTTTCGATGCGTGCGAAGGCCCCGGCCATCTGAATGTCTTCGTCCTCCTCCTGCCGACAGGCAAAGAAAGTGGTGTGTACAGATTAGGTTTATTTTTGGATTAAGCAAAATGGCCTTAAAGTCATGCCAAGTGGGAGGAAGCGCAGGCAGCGTTAGTGGTAACCATCCTGCATTGCGTTGTGCCTTCATCCCGAGGCAAGCAAGGGGAGGAGAGGGAGAAGAGGGAGAAAAAAAAAGTTATGAATAGTCTCGCATACTGCAAGTTCTAGTTTGCGTCAAAAGTTTCGAGCCCGATACCAACTGCAAAAAACCTTTGATTGCATCTCTTGAATCGCTGCTACTACCTACCCTGTAATCTGTAACCCCCCCCCAACAAAAAAAAGAAAAAAACACCACAGAAGCACTTAGCTTCGCCCCACTGATAGCTCCATTGAAGCCCTAAACTCTGACAATCTAAGCGCCAAGCCCTGCCTGCAAAAAACAGAAGTCGTCAACAACCCTTCTGAACCAACCTATAACAACCCTATATAGCCGATAGGTTAAAGCTCAATGCCTCTGAAGGAACCCAAAAAAAAACTCCATCTCAAAACCCGCAAAAACCGATAAACCACTACAGCTGAAAGCCAAAAGCCTTTCAACAATACACTATAACACCTTGGGGCTGTGAAGGGTCTTTTCAAAGGACCCCATGTGAACAATGGCATTTTAACGCCTAAAACCTAAACCATGTAAACCAGTATGTTGGAAAACATTCCAGAGCCCAAAGGCACTACCCAATCTTAAGCCTTAGAGCCTTAGGAGGAGCCCTTTAAGGAAATCCTATATGAACCACGACATGTTAAAGCCCAAAGGCCCCCCCCCCCCAAGCCTGAACCCTGGACCCAAACCCCAAACCCCCCAATGCCCTTTCAAGGAACCCTACTAAGAAAAAGAAAACAAAAGCCCTAAGCCGCCCTATAAACCGCTACATACTAAAGCCCGCGGGCTCCCATACTTTGGAGCCCCTCTAGAGGAATCCCATTCTTAAACAAACTATCGATAAAAGCCGCCTAAACCCTGAACCCTAAAACCTAACGCTAAACCCCTAAACCCTAAACCCTAAACCCCTAAACCCCTAAACCCCTAAACCGTCAAACCCCGAGGTCGGAGCCTCGAAGTCCACGGCCTCCCAGGATCCCAGCGAGGTGTCGCTGCGCGGGGTCGCAGGAGCCGAAGAAGGGCCTGACTTTTTCGGGCTTCATAAGGATCTCTTAGGGTGCCATACGGGTGCTATAAGGATCTCTTTAGGGTTCCAGAAGGGAGCTACAAGGCTGTCGTATGGTTCTATACGGGTGCTACCGGCTCTCCAGCGGGTTCTGTCAGGGCTTACAAGGATTTTAGTGGGGGTTCCAAGAGGGGTTCATAGAATCATAGGAACTTTGTCGATGTTTATGGGTTTGATAGGATTCTATAAGGGTTCCATGATTCGCTTAAATTTAAAAGCTTTATCAGAGTTGTCTAGGATTCTACCATTGCTTTCTTGATGCTCGCACTCGGACATAGCCAGGCAGGGCCTTAATGGGTTTTGTTTATAAGTTATAAGGCTATATAGGGGGGTTGGGGGTGTAACAGGTTTATAACGCGTCTTGGTGTTGCTTTGTAGGTTCCACGAATGAACCTATTTGGTATGCAGCCTGCTGCATCCCTTGCTGAAAGGCTTGATTTTATCCTAAATATAGATAATGAGCCTTATAGGGGCTGATAGGTAGTCTCGACAATGCGGTGTTTTGCCTTTTGTGGGTGAGGGTGTAGCGTGTGGGGCTCGTTTTTCTGAGAACCAACAAGACATGCTCCACAGGTTGTGTCTGCCTTCTCAAGGACCAATGCCCCGGACCGGAAGCCCAGAGCCCCGCAAAAGCCACCCACTTCATCAAACGAACAACTCACACAACGCAGCTCACATTTAGCACTCACTGCAGCGAACATACCATCAGCCGCAAACCCTGACTAGAAGCATCAGGAGAGGAAAAAACTCCAATTACAACGAATTATAAGTACCCTAACTGGGCTGGTCTCAAGAGTAACCTGGCTGATAAGTCCACTTGCTATGCCCCGATCGGCTAAGGTCTAGTTCCCAGGCCCCCCTAGCCTCCATCTCCGCAGATCTCCAAGCGGAGAATACTCTGCGCCTCGGAAACCCAGGCTTTCCAGTGCTTCCTATCAACATATAGGGTTCAGGGTTGACGGCTCTTAAAAAAGAGGGGGTGGTGCACTGCGACCAACCTATATAGAATGAGTTTCATGGGTTATGAGGTCGTTCAGTGTTCTGGAGGGTTTCAGGGTCAAAAGGCGGCTGTGCTTCACGGCTGTGGCTGTACACGACCTTGCTGAGGACATTGGCATTCCTGTAGGCTTCTATTATAAGCGCCCTCGGACCTCAGGAGGTATCGGACAAACCGGCGATTCATTCGATGGTCGGCCCGTGAGTGTGCAGAGTCCAGAACTCGTGGACCCCGAAAGAAATAGAGCCATAGGGCAAATGTCAACGCCTCTCAAAAGCTGAATGTTTGTCATTTATATGTTCCCTTGGCTTCCGTTAAAGGCGAACCCTCACCACAAACCCCAAAGATTTCTAAACACAAACCCAACAACCACAAATTCGAAACCCCAAGCCCTATGAAACCTTCTTTGCACTTTGGACAAGCGGCCCCTGCGAGATCCAGTGCATCCGGGAGCGTAGCGGGCGTAAGTGTGCACCTGGGGCTCGTTCTCTTGCAGAGGTGATTCGTTACAGCTGAGCCCTATAACCATAAACCCTAAACAGTGACCTTCGAGCATTAGAAAATCCCAACCTTTCAAGCCTCATGTCGCAGGTCCTGCAAACAGTGCCTGACACACGGAAAACCCGAAGCGACACGTATCGAAGTGCTGCCCGTGTCAAGAACGCTGCGAACGTCGCTGGTGAAGAATTCGACGATGATGATGAAGGTGATGATGATCATCATCATCATGATGGTGATGATGAGGATGATGAGGATGATGATGAAGATGACGATGGCGATGATGATGAAGATGCTGATGGTGGTGACGACGCTGACGATGATGATGCTGACAATCTCATTACGATGGCGCTGGTGATTATTGCGCTGATGGTGCAAAATGTTCCAGCGTTGCTGGTATGTGTGGTGGCGATGCTCATCACCTAGTACAGGATGATGACAGCATTGAAGCAAGAATAGCTTCCGCCGTCATGGCAAGTGCAGTCTGAATCCGAAGTTTGTAGTGCTCTGGGAGCAAGGCCAGTCGCCCTCTTCGTCCTGGCCGAAAGGCGTGGAGGTACTGAGTTATGCTGCATATACTATCGACATGGCAAGGCTTCGGGAGGGGATTCCTTGCCTGTGGGACGCTTGCGTAACTGCCATGAATTGGGGCTGAGCCTGCAAACCTGGAAGGTGAAAACGAGGCTTCCGTGGATCAGGCTGCAACAAAGGGGAACGCCGAATGAACACCTCTCACGACAACGCCTCGCCTCGAAGTTCTCCGAAGAAGGTATATCATACTAGAATAAACACAGCACAATACAAGATATATGTATATATATATATATATGCACACACACACACCCCTCTGGACCGGCCTGGTACTTCATGATGAAGTCTGAAAGATCAAAGCATGCCTGGGCCGTGTCCTTGATGACTTGGTGAGACACCTCCGGGAAAGTTTGAGGTTTAGGGTTTTTTGCCTCCCACCTAGCTGGACGAGCCCGCCTTGCAGGGCAGAGTCAGAAAGCATAGGGCTTCGGCGCTCGGTACAGAGAAGGCTTCAACTTAATCCTAAACCCCTAAAGCCGTTTGTTTGAGCAGGGACAGCAATGCACTAAGCCCTGAATCCCTTCAGCCCTCAACCGTGAAAGCCTAAGCTTCGGAGGTTCATCTCTACCCAGGCCAGTTGGCCACAAGGCGAGGTTCCAGAGACACTGCTGTTTCGCAAGACTTTCAAACGCCTAAACTAAACCCTAAAGCTTCACTTCTTTGTTTGACTCCCTGCAAGGCTACAGCAAGGCATCCCTCGAAGTATGGAGTCGTTGCAGTTCAGAGTTCACAATAGATCAAAATAACTAGTCTGAGAGCTCTTCCTCGCGACTTCCACCCAAGGCTGCCCAGGTGAGACTGGAGACGGCTTGAAACTTCACTGAACCCGGGAACTCCAAAGCAGCATGATTTTCGCTGAGCCACGTCGGAGACCTTGGCACGGCATGCGAGTCGCGAGGCTCTGAAGTCGCCCAATTCGCTTCACAAACCGGTTGAGCAGTTGAGACTTGGGGAGCTTGGACTCTAAGCCCAAAAACCTAAGCCCTAAA